CATCATTGATACCAGATCAGGAAAGTTCCTAAGTGGCTCCTGAAGAATTCTGAATGTCGCCAGAGCAGAAAGAACACCTCCAGCTGTTAGTTGAGTGCCTAGGAATATTGAAGTAGCGAATGTAACTGCGGATACAAAGATTGGGGAACTCCAAAAGATGAAGGTAACAAAAGCCTGTGAATATAAGGCTTTGCGAAGCCATCCATATTCCTCTTCCCTCATTTCTTCCAATCTCACTCTGTACCGATCTTCCCACGCCTGCAATTTCAGAACTCTCATGTTCCTAAGACACTCTGACGTTTTCCTCATTCTTTCGTCTTTTGCAGCCATCAACTTATCTTGGTACTCCTCCTGAATCTTAGCCAAAGGAATTGTGACAAGAATCGAGATTATAGTCGCAACTAATGTAGCTATAAATGCTATGCCCACACTTTTGTATAAGATTGCAAGAGCGAGTATTATTTGCATCGGAAGCATCCAAATATCATGAAGATACCACGAGTAATCTCCTATGCGCTGGACATCGACTGCCATGTAGTTTACAATTTCTCCGCTCGTGTGATTCTGCTTGGCTATACTCGAAAGTTTCAGACCTTTCCTGTATACCATCGCTGTTAGAGCTGATCTAACATGCATCCCTAAGATATCAACCCCCATATACCACTGACGAGTGGTGACTGTCTCTACAAGCTTGGACGTAAAAAATATCCCGGCGAGAACATATCCTTCGTGAGGGAAAATCTCCTTCCCTCCAAGATAATCAACAAAGTAGCTGATCAAGTACGGGCCTACATAGGACACAAGAGTATTCAACCCAGCAAAGACTGCGTTGCACGCTGCTTCTTTCCAAAAGGATTTCAGAATTGCACGGGCTAAAGAAGGAGGTTTCGAAGGATTCTCGGATTTCGATCTCTTCCAATTCGACTTCAAGACCTTATAACTGGACTTGGCTCTATCTTTTGGTGCAAGAAGGGGTATATCCTTCAGCTCAAGCGGTCTTTTTGAGCCGGCTGAGAGAAGTGGATCCAACCAAGAAAGTGTAACTAGGCTAACTAGTCCAGCACTACTATAGGGAGTGACTTTAAGACAAGCTGCCTCTTCTTCGACAAGCAAAGGCTCTTGAAGATCAGAAGAGCTTAGGCGAACTTCAATACCAGAGATTCCTCTCAACGCCACAAAGCAAAGAAACCCGAGAGCAGGTGTAACAGCTAAATTGGCCACGACATGAGAAGAACACCCGCTCCAACCTTCAATCGCTAGCCTTCTTCCGTCCACGTACAAAGTACAGAGACAAATCGAAAACGACAAGAACCACCATATCCTCAGCAACAAGGGTAACTTCTCTGATGGCTTGTATTTCAAATGAAGAACTAAGAAGCTAAGAACAAACCAAGCTAAACCCTGAGCAGCTGGGAAGCAGAGAACAAACCAGTCACTGACTTCTCTTATAACTCTAATCCCATCAAACCCTAACACCAAAACTTGCACGCCTAACACATAGAAGCAACAGAGCAAAGATAATTTGAACCCAATCCCAATAACACTAACATCGTTATTCTCTCTTTCCAAGCTAACATTACGACTAGAAGCTGAAACCGTATCTTCCTTAGTGAGCCTATCTCTGCCTCTTCTCACACAGACGAGAACCTGCCTCGCGGAGACAGCAAATAGAAACACAACAAAAAGCGCGAGGTTGATGACGACGGAACAGAGCTCCAATAGTGGCAAATGCTCTCCAAAGATGGACGAGATCTCATTAAAATCCATGATCGAAAGATTCGTGAGAGAGTTTGTTTGAGATCAACAGGCGGATTCTTCGAGCTAAAAGGAGCATCTCACTACATCCCAAAACCGTGGCTGCAAACGAAAGCAAACAAAAACCAGAGAGACTTATGAATCTTTTTTCAAAGTCTATCGACACATTGCAAATCAAAACAAATTGAGTTTCTCTGCGTAACCCAACACGTAGGATCAATCACAGAGCATAAAAATATAAATAAAAAGACGCGAACAAAGAAACAAAAACAAAAAGAAACACAACGGTGCGTTTGGTCCTCACCAGCTTTGGTAGATCAAAATCGATAGGTCCCAGAAAGAAGCAAATCAGCTGAAACCAGACGTCACTCGAGGAAAATCGAGAATTCGTGAGAGAAAGAGAGAGACGAAGAAGCAGAGAAGATCTCTCTTCGCTTAAAAATTAAAACTCAAAAGAGATAATCTTTTCTTCTCTTTCTCTCTAATCCTTCTATAGCAAAACGAAAAAATGCAAAATTTATGGGTCGATTCGATTGTGTACACTAGTGAGAGAAAGATTTGAGGAATTAATAAAGACGTTTCCTTTCGGCTTTTTTTTTTCCTTCGTGGGCTTACTGTATTATACAGCCGTAACCTTTTTTGGGTGCTTACGATGCTTGACGTCGATGTCAAAATGTGAGTGTGTTTATTTGGAATGTGACCTTTTTAAAATTAATTATTGTATTATTGAATATTATTGACCACTATTTTCAATAAAAGCGCCCATGATTTAATCTTTAAGCATACTAATGCGTTGCAATGAATCATATTCTGCTTTTTTTTCTACGTTTTTGTTCTCTCGATTATTCATCCTTTTTATTTATATATCTAACAAATTTTGGGAACAATGGAGGAACCTTACGGTCCATGGAATATTCTTGCTACACGTGAGTATATGTGTTGTCTACAATACTAATAAACTATTTAGATGTCGGTAATTGCAGTAATATTTAACAAAATATATTGAACGTCTTCTCGAATTCATTTGTATAAGCTGAAGATAGATACGTTATGTCGTTATCCTTTTACAATAATAGAAACGAAAACCATTTTAATATCTAAGCACTAAACAATGATCAGACTAATGTGTCAGCTTGAATCAAAGTGATAAGAATAACTTAGAGTTTGCAGAAATGGTTTTACATAATCTAACAAATGAATTTATCAGTGTACGTACAACGTATATCCACCAAATGAACCTAATCTCATGATCGGTTAATTAAATCAATTGAGTCAAAAATCTACATGCACTCTTTGCCCAAAGAGTGTGTGTGAGACTATTCAAATGAAAGGGTGGGCCTGAATTAGAAAGTAAACTAATAATATGATGAATTATTAAGAAGATAGATATACCGATATTTATTTCTAATTCAGTACTGCCCGTATGTTTGTTCGTGGAGACAAGATTCAATGTGCGGATGACGACTTACTACACATGCTGACATGCCATGCATATGCTTCTTATTTGGCATAGCATTTTCTTATTAATACAAGATTAATGTCAATTACTAATTGCTGACTATACATTTAAAAAGTACGTGAAGATGTCATTTAATACAAAACAATGTATTGGTGTTGGTTATAGTTTCCGTTTTATATTTGTAGTTAATTATTAATACACGGTACGTAAGGTACGTTAACCCAATTCTAGTTGGCAATGAGGATTGTACGTGTTTTTTTTTTTTTGGTAAAATATGAGGATTGTACGTTCTTCCGCATATATTCTTTTATTGGAATCAAATCTTCTTTTCACTTTGTTTTCACGGTAAATAAACAATTTCAAATATAATGGATATATGTAAGAGTTAAGACGATGATGTAACAATCTAGAAGCCATGATATATAATGTATTAATGTATTTTAATTTTAAGCAAAACAATGATGATCTAATATAATGGTTTCACTACAATTTAATATAATTGTTGCTGGCTCTGCATAGTTTTGTCATTTGCGTTTGTTTGGTATCGTCGTGGATCTGTTCAAACCTTTTTGTACCACTTCTATACTGCCAGCTCACGTCCCACTTTCTTTCATATAATTTTTTATTCGTTTATTATTTTATACGTGTACAAAAGCAAATCTAGAAAGGTAGCTTTTCGTATATGGAAAAGATATATAGTGTGTTACGTTAATTCACGAAACAATATATATATGAATCAAATGTCGCTTATATATGAAGATTGTTCATATGACGCGATAGACGACAAACAAAAAGGTTTAAATCTGAATGTCAATTGAGCTAGAAAGTCTTCTCTCTTGCGAAAGGTGCATAACAATGATGGTGGAATGAACAAATGCCTAACCTAACACATTTCTCTCACATGTCCATTGTGTCTATATCACCTAAGAAGCCTCTTTATGGGCCTAACACAGGGCACTGGAACGTTATATATTAAAACTACTTTGCGAGTTATGAGATATTCCATTTTCTCCTCGTTTACACCTTTGCTCTTAAACCTGTTGTCATATTGATAACTTGGTATCAACTATCAAGAATCAACCCAACCTAATTTAATTCGTACCTACCTAGAATTGGTATGGCGATTGGTGAAATGTGAGTGTAAATGAGAGAAGTGTGGGACCTATGAAGAGTTAATTTCTTAAGTGTACGGGCTTGAATTAGGCCCATTTAAGTATAAAGTTCTTAAATTTTTGCCGACTTGTCTTTTTCTTTGTCACCGACCATAACATTGTCCCGCTCACCTTTACAGTATTAGTCCACCACCATGGTTCATAAATCATGAATTAATATGCGTCACATCACTGGATTCTATATTCGTATTCAACGTTCACATTAATTCGTTTGCATCATATATTCCAGAAAATGAATTTAGTAATATAACTAATTAATTATCCAGAAAATGCAGTTTTTTCAGATTAAAATGTTTTGTCGTAATATCTTCTTTCTTGGTTGAACTGCTTCCATTTTCTTCTTTTTTTAAAAAAAAAAAAACCATGCATCAAAAGATTTTTTTTAATAAAACAATCTCCACGTGGCTTTATGATGTGTTCTGAACTTCTGATGGAAAATGCCATAAAATTATTTCTTTTACAAGCGCCTAAAACAATTGGGCCCATAATGCTCAATTACTCCCCAGACCTAACACACCATTTAAGCCCATAAGATATACGGTCGAACCGTAACGGTAGAATTCAACCGGTCTTCGGTTAAAGATAGGATTCAACCGGTCTCTCCTTCTCCCTCCAAACAACTCGAAGCTTCTTCTTCTTCTCCTTCTTCTGGTTCTGTCTTCGTCTAGGTTAATCGAATCTCGAGTGTTGTGTTATATCTTTCTGCTGCGAATCAATGGCGCTATGGATGGATGCTGGGTCGGAGCCGATGACGGAGAATGAAAAGGCTGATCTCGAAGCTATTTCTGCTCTCAAAGAATCCGCCGCCATCGAATTCAAAGTATCCACTCTTTCTCTCCTTCTATTTGGTTCTAAACCTCCTAATTCGATGCTCCTTCCCGATAATTATGACTAATAATCGTTTGATTCTGTCCTTTAACTACTTCCCGATTTCTCCTTTCGTGCTTCAACGTCTTCAGAATATAAAATTTGAATTTGTAGTTTGATTCGATGTTTCATGTAGTTGAATTATACGGTGGGCTGTATCACTCGGATTTTGTTATCCTTTTTTTTATCCATGAACGTCTTCTTCAATCACAGGAGCAGGGAAATGAATGCGTGAGGAAAGGGAAAAAGCATTACTCTGAAGCGGTTGAAAACTACACGAAAGCCATTAAGCAAGGAGTTCTAAGTGACTCAGAGACCTCAATCTTGTTCTCGAATCGAGCCCATGTTAATCTACTATTAGGGAATTATCGGCGTGCCCTCACAGATGCTGAGGAATCAATCAGGCTATGTCCGGGTAACGTCAAGGTAACCACATTTCTCTTTGGTTTCGTTGCAGCTTTTTTTTTGTCGTTTCCCTGATGGGTTTCAGTGCTTCAAAAGGCGGTGTATCGAGCTGCAAAGGCATCAATGTCATTGGATTTGCTGAACGAAGCAAAAACTTACTGTGAAAAGGGAATCGAGAATGACCCGAGTAACGAGGACTTGAAGAAGCTTCTAAAACAGGTGACTTCAAAGAAGCACGAGAAAGAACAACACGAGGCTCAAGTCTCAAAGGCAGTGGTGGAAGCCAAGGTTCGATTTTGGATCGGATACAATGAAGCCTTAGCATTGACACAGAATCCTTAGCGTTTGCTTTATTACGTTTCCCTTGGTTTTGTTCTAGGCTTGTCTCTCTGCGATCGAGAACAGAGGCGTGAAGATTGGCAAAGCAATGTACCGAGAACTCACGGGTTTGAAGAAGCCAATGTTAGATAAAAACAACATCCTACATTGGCCTGTCCTGCTTCTTTACGCAGAGGCCATGACAAGTGACTTTGTCGAGGACTTCTGCGAAACAGACATGTTTGCAACCCATCTTGATATGATATCCTTTATAAAAAAAAATCATATTTTCTTTTCTTTTATTTCGATAACTGCTTATACGGATTAGCTTTGTTCAGTTTGTTTTCTTGTCCCTCCTTAGCGCTCTGAACATGTTTTCAGAAGATAGCCCGCCGCTGCCATGGGATAAAAACAACGAATACACGCGTGATGTGATTGAGCTTTACTACGAGGTAATCTACTCCTCCTAACCCTTGTTTTCAATTTTGCGGTGCCATTTTAACGTTAGTATCTGCAGTTAAAATTCTGACATCTTGTTATTTCGTTTCCTTACCACTTCGATTTCCTTGAGAAAGTCTGTATCTATTCTTGATGAATTCACTGAACTTGTCCTTATGAAAAACTACTGAAACTCCAATAGACTAAACTGTGTTATGAAGCATTTAGCGCTAACACCTGGAACCTTCTCCTCTCTTTGTTTCTTCTCTAGGCATGTTCGGGAACTCCTCTGCCTAGGAGTAGAGTTCTCCAGTATCTTTTAGAAGGTACAAAAGGTGCTCAAGCTGAAACCACCGGAGAAGAGGACACAAGCTTACCCAAAACACTCCCAAACCGTAAGAATCTTAAACTTGTGATATTATCCACTTTTACATTGTCAATCGGTCTAGAGGCTCACATGTCTTTTCCATGAATTGGGGCAAAAGTGAAAGGAAGACATTCGTCGGGTATGGTTAAAGTGAACGAGCGAAGAACATTGCATGATGTGTTGAAAGAAGCTAACTTTGTCATCCCTGAGATCCCAGGTTTGTTTGTATTATCACGTTCGACTCTGTTTCTTAAACTCGTTTGCGTGGAACTGATCATTACTCATAACATTCTCTTCCATGTTTTCGGGCAGTCTTCTACGTCGTATCGAAGAGGTCCAAATTTTACAAGGACTTTGTCGCCGGAAAATGGAGTCCACCAAGTTGAAGCGTTATAAAAAGGATGGCAATAGGGTTTCGAAACTTCAAACGTGTACGAGTGACGAACGTTTTTTGGCATCTCTTTTGTTTTATTGATTCGCATCATCCATTGCATCTCGTTAAAAAGATAATAGGTAGCAGATTCAGAAAATTTTACCGTCTATCAGATCGAACGTCTTGATGAGAATCCAACTTCTCGTAGGTAAGTGAAGAAAAACAAAGGAGTAAAAATTAATCTTACAAAGGAAGAAGCGTGGTTACAAACTTAGTTACAAAGCTACAATAACAAACACAGAACTCTTTTTTTTTTTTTTTTTTTTTTTACATTTTTCTGCAGTCTTTTCAAACAACCGACTCAGAGACCTGCTTAGTTTTTTATTTTTTTTGAAAGAAAAAAAAGTTCGCAAATTGAGAAAGGCCATGCCGACTTGCGACCTTCCACAGTATAAAAGAAAAAACCACCCAGGTTGTGCATGAAAAATGCTTCTCAGATTTTCATGGCACACAGGGTCGACGAACTAAAAGGCAGAGCGAGCAAGCGGAATGGGAGGGATTACTCGAAAGAAACAGAGGAAGATGAGTAATCCCTCGATGCAACATCTGTCTATGAGATTGTATGTATATAGTGGTTGAGACCTGAATTCTTCTCTGCCTAGCATTCTAATGCATAAGTCTGCACCTGTTTTTCATTAATCACATGTTAGTTCAAAAAGATGATTTTCCTTCAAAACCTTTTTAACTTCGATTATTTCAAGAAGATCAACCTTCTCAATAATTCTACCTCGGCCAGGTTGGGTGCAGTGAGGTTAGACGCAGCAGCTGTGTTGTACTGGAAGATCCGAAGCTTCCCCTCCTGGGAAAGTATTTGGGAAAATCTTTAGTAGATTTATAATTGAAGCGCCGTGAAGAGTTACACATTATGAATTTAAATCATTTACCTTTGTCCCATAAACAAGACCTCCTCCCGGAGAAGGATGAAAGCAAGCGACATTAACTTCATCCTCTGAGCTTGGAAGTACTCTCACCAGTTCCATATCTGAAACTCTGTAAATCTGATGGAAGACAACAAAAATAGGTGAATTATGTGCGATATTTCAAGAGTATATAACATAGATTTCCAAAACAAAAATGGTTATGTGTGTTTTCATATTCATAACTACTGGAGCATAGAAGTTACCTCCAACACTGTGAAAAAATGTGATGTTGTTTCTCCATCACTCACAATGCTCTTCAGAAGTGAACCATGCCGCCGACCATATGCAAGCAATATGTGCTCGGAGGTTGGTGAGAACTGCACGGAAATTTGAAATTATAGCACTTCATCACAATAATACTAATCAGTAGACTATTGATTAGAGTGAGAATCTCATAGACCTTCACAGCCATTAATTACTTAAACAAAAACAATGGGGCATTTAGGGGTCAAAATCAGTGAACGACTTTGCGCAGTTGAGTTGTTGGTTATTCGGGATAACTCTACGTGTTATATATGGTATTTATATCTAACTGAAACTTGATGCCATAGTTTAACTAAATCAGGAGCTTGCATGTATTCAAATGATTTTACTTATGTCTAACAAATATGTCCAATGTATTCCCTAACGGTGACTGACTAACCTGGATAGAAGTCAAACAATGTGCAGCCCTAATTGCCCGGGACACAAGCACTGAACCAAATCTGTAGACATACAAAACACACACTCTTGTCAGCTTTCTGCTATATGCCATGTGAAAAAGTTGAGAATGTAATAATTAGAAGATGAAATAATTAACACAAGGAAAACAAATGGCAGTAGCACTTACGTTTCCTTTTCAAGAGAATACACACGAAGTTCATACATGACTTGATGTGCTGTGACAGGATGTCGAGTAGGGGAAGTTGCAAGCCCTGAATCTTGTTGTACCAGAGTCTGCAAACCAGGATCTGTCTCAGCATGAGGAATAACACATGCAACACAGGCTGCTAAATATCTCCCACATGGTGAAAAATGGGCTCCCATTTCACTGCAAATATAAATACACGTAATGTATCTCCCATCAACAAAAGTGAGATATTATTTAGCATCACGATCATCCAAGCGTTGCACAACACTATTACGGAGAATATTTACCTGCAAAGAACAGCATGATGTATTGTTATTCGACATTTGTCGGACTTCAGTATTGCACAGGGGTCCTTGATGTCATGTGACCACACTCTCAGTTTCACAGTACAAGGCAACTCTGCAGCAGCAATCGAAGTAGCCAGTTCAGACGGGATTCTGTTTACCACAGGTTGAGCATCAGCTCCTTCGTGTTGAGTGTTATGAGAGGTAAGACCTTCTGCTAAACGAGATCCTGCGAAGCGGGACTGTGAAATCCGGTCCCGGGAGTCACCTCTTCCAGAAACCCCATATAAGTTAACACCACCAGGAATTTCTAATGACGCTACTGCAGCCTCTAGACTGGCTGTGGATGAATGAGATGCTGAAGAAGAACCTGTATAAGGAATTGTGTTGACATGACCACTACTACCACTAGGAAGAACCACTGAGTTAGCACCAGCTTGGCTTTGAGCCATCAACCACCCTTGAAGAAAAGGTAATTCCCACGAAACTCTGTCTCTGAAGTGAAATAATTGCTGAAGTTGTCCAAACTCAAGTAAATCTGATTGACTTGAAACTTGACTGAGAACTCTATTTCTTCCAATAGGTTGAGGTTCATCTACATCCATGGCATCAACTGTAGTGGTAGCAGTTGTCGCTCCAGCTTGGGCAGCAAATGTGCTGCTAGCAGAGTTTTCTGGGACAAGATAGGAACCAGAAAGATCACCGGACGTAGCCATGGGAAGAGGAGGAGACATTGTTCTGCTGCCGTGTTCTACAGAGTTTTGATTACTCTGAAACCTCGACTGTGCACTCCTTGGACCAGTTGTACCAGTAGAATATTGGATTCTTGGATCATCAGCAGAATATGAAGGCAAAAGCAAGTACGGTAATGGCACAAGTGGCAATTCTGCTGCCATACTGGTACGACTTCCACTCTGTGTGTTGGTGAAGAAAATAGCAGGAGGCGGATATCGCAAATAACCCGGAGATGTTGCTCTAGTCATTGCGGAATCTGATGAATCAATGTCAGTCACCTGCCATTTGTAGTTAATAGCGTAAGCCCACAAAGTGGCACAACATTAACCGAAACCTCAATAAGTAGCTCACCTCTGCAGTTAAGAGAAGAGGAACCCCATGTGGATGAAAGTGCACAGCTCTCAGGGAGCGCCTTGTCTTCAACACAATTGCGGGTGATGAGTCCTCGCCTCTCTTATTGTAGTGCCATATGTGCAACTACGAAAGAAAAAAACATTAATCAAACTTTAAGACCTTTAAATCCGATGTTTATTCTGAAAGGATACACCGCCTGCAACTAGCTAGCATTTCATGAGTAATTTTAAAGGCAATAAGATACCTTATGACCAGACGCAACAGCAAGTAAATCACCTTCAGCGTGGAAAGCTATAGAAGCAATAGGTCGATCTGTTTAGGGAAAAGAAGAAGAGGACGAAAATTAATTATATGAAAAAGCAGAGGAGGAAAAGGAACAAAATACTATAACGCCTAGTACTTACAGAAATCATGAGATCTAATACATTCTGAAGTTGTTGCATTCCATAAGCGGACCTCATGATCTAAACTTCCACTAGCAACTATTTCTGAGTGGCGCGGGTGGAATCTGACCTGTAGAGAACCCAATAACGTTAGATACTAAAGCAGTGGCTGTAACGCGTCGCTAAATAAACTTAATCCACTGCAAGTATTAACGTGCTACACCTAAACAAAAATATAACAAGACACCCATCATCCGACCTACAAAACCAATAACAAAGATAGCCACTAGATTTCATTTCTCGAGATGAGTCTAGGTCATCTAGAGATAGTTATGGTCAAGTTAAGTGCTACTTAATAACCATTGGAAGTCATCGAGTAAATGAAGTTAAGAGAAAAGGGATAACATTCTCAAACTCACCACCCAGGGTGTCCTCCTATGGCCACTCAAAACTTTAAGGCATTTTCCTGTCTCACAATCAATAATCTTTACAGTGTGGTCGCCACTACAAGATACAAAACCCAAGTAAATCTCATTAGCAATCGGAAAATAATTATAATAAAATAAATATGGCTCACAATACTTACTGTGTAGAAGCAAGAGTTCTTCCATCAGAACTAAACGCTGCTGCAATAGTTGACCTTGGAGGAGGCACAAGAGGACAGTACTTAGCAGATAAATGCTGCAATGACTCTGCCTCGACCCTACATAAAAGGAATGTAATTTACATTCAGAAGCCCCAAAAGGGGTAAGGATCACATAAACTAATCTTCACGGAAGATACATCAGAAGCCTGAGAAAGGAAGCTTGAAGAACGAAGAAGCGATGGAAGCAAGGTACCATGAAATAAGATTATGTCCCAGCTCGCTCACTGGTTCGCTACTGGTTCCACACGACGAATCAGCATCCCATCGGCTTTCACCCCATCGTTTCCTTGGCACAAACTTTGTTTTTGGTGAGATTTCTCTCTGGACCAGCAGCTTAAAGACGCTTTTACACCTGAACAATCATACTCAAACCAGATCAGATATTTAGGCTACAAGTAAGAGCTCCAGAATCACATCCAAGGAATACTGCCGTTCTAAAAGCTGAAACTAACAAAAATTCATGCGAAAACTAATAATACATAAAGATCTATAGGTTCAAAAATACTTGCATAGCCATCGTCAAACAGGATTAAGAGACTAGCATCCGACATTTCAACGATCTCCTAAACAAGCCTTGTAATTACTTGATCTAACACTGGATCTCCTTCCAAGTTTATATAATTCAGAGGCAGAAAAGCATCAAAGGGTTCTACTTTGATTCATAATTCAAGCTCAGTCAATAAGCAAGTTCTGACCTCTGGCGATGGAAACTAGCCACTGGATTTGGTGACGGTATCAGCGACCGAGGAGAAGGTTGATCGTGTGACCAGATAGATTCCGTCATGTCCAAAGCCGAAATTCACATGAATTCCCCAGTTGACAGCGAATCCATAGATGCGGCCAAACAAGGACGAAACCCTAAATAGGCGATCTCCGAAGAAAACGAGGCCAAATCGCCGATCCAATCTGCCCGAATTTCCTCGCCGGCAGCTCCG